TGCAGAAGAAGAAGACATAAGTGCGTGAGAGGTACAGACAGCAAAGATGAACCCTTTTGCACATAGAGTACTGCATTGTCAGTGAAGGCAAACATTCATATATGGGTGGATAGATGGGTCGACAGGTTGGGGGGAGTGTGCCCATGACCATATAAAGTTAGTATAGGGTTGGCAGACAATGTTTCTACAAGTGTACTTGTATGTTCTGTAAGAATTGCTAGGTATATAGTAGAGCTGACAAGGGACAAGATTGTGGTCACTTCTTGGCACAGCCAGCTACCCAAAAGGAACGAGTAGTTGGACATGTGGGTTCAGGATCATAGTCACAAGGAACATCAAGCTCAACTGGCATAACATACTACACAAAAACATCGTTCCACATCCTACTTTGGCAAGTAGCAACTGGAATCCTAAAAACTTGCAAGCGGCCATTTGAATGCAATGATGGGTCTCTTCTCATCCAGAGCAAAGAAGAGTGAAGAAAACCAGACCATGGAAACAATTAGTCCAAGAGACTGGTACACCATGCGATCCTTGGCCTATATGACTATGATACCAGAAGAACTAGAAGGTGCTACCACCACTCAGAGGGGGATCTCGGTAGGAGATCCTGGATAGAGTGGGAGAATAATGTGGAATAAAACTCAAAATCACTTTAGAAAAAAAATGACCAGGTTTGCTGGTCTGATAGAGCCTGATGGAACCACTGAGACTATGGCCCCTAGCTGCCCTTTAGGTCTGGTATAGAACCCACTCCTGTGGCTTCCAGCCAAACAAAAGACAGGCATATGAGCTGAACTTCTACAATAGGTAGATATACTCCTTGGAGAGATCAATCATGGGAGACTAGAAGGATTGTGCATGCACAGGGAGACAGCTCAGGGGCCAGGAATGCATGGGAAGGAAAGACACAGGGTAGAGGTAACTATGGGGAAGAAGTGGGAAGGGAGCTGTTGCATTGTGGTAAATTGCAGTCAATGTTATGAGATAAAGTGTATGTGAGCTGCTGTATGGAAAATGAATTTGCTCTGTAAACTTTCACCCAAATCACAATAAAACTTTATATATATATATATGATAAACCTGGAAACAACCCAGGTGTCCATCACCAGTGTACATGTTGAATGCACATCTTCACAATCAAATGCAACATACCTATAAAAAGGATGAGAGATATTTTTATATTTCAGAGTTCTATGAAATATACTGTTAAGTCAAAAAGATTAAGGTGGAGAAAGGCATGTATAGTGGGCGACTATTTATCTAGGAAGAGAACTAAAGGGCACACTAAAAAAAAAAAAAAAAAAATTTTTAAGTTTACTTGTAAAGGGAGAAAAGGAATATGGTGGCTGCTCAAGGCCAGAAACTAAACTTTGAACATAGCTTGTTTTTTATTTGACTTTTGGGCCATGTAAATATTGTACATGCTTATTAAACTTCAAAAAAGCAATTTCTATAAATAGAAAATAAAATGAAACAAATCAACCCAACCAGGTACACAGTTGGTAGTTTAACCACACAGAGAGCTAGTTGGTGGCTTAACCCCATAGGTTCCAGCAACCTTAAACAGTAATTGTACTGTGTATTACTTTTGAGGTGTACTCATTGTTATTCAGAGAATGTTGTACATTAATGAAGAATAAAGCAAGTAAGTTATCATGTAATATTCTAATAGTACCATCCACTCTCCTAAGAACCAAGATTCACAGGATGGAAGAAAGGAAATACAGATGTATTTCAGTGGCTAAAGCACTTGACTGCTAACCAGAAGGCTGGCGGTTCAAACCCACTAGCCCCTCCTCGGAAGGAAGATGGGGTAATCTACTTCCGTAGTGATACTGCCTTGGAAACCCAAGGAGGTGTCGCTATGAGTCTATGAGTTGGGTCCGACTCGACAGCACGTAACAACAACAACAAACTCAAAAAATGAGTATTCCTAATGTCCTCATTGTAGTCACTAAGCTGTATTCCTATGAAATGAACTAGAACTTCCTGGAAAAATGGGCAATTCTCTGTCTGGAGTAGAAAATATGCATGATAAGCCTGGGAAATTTTATCTAAGGTCATGCTAGATACATCTAAATTCATGCGTTAATATAACACTTCTATAAAAATAAACAAAGGTAAATTGGTTGTTGATTAAGGATGATAAGGATCAAAAAAAAAAAATCTGAAAACTGGCAAATGAAAGGGAAGAGTTAAACATATATTTTTCTTCCCTTACATCAACTATGCCATTAGACCACAGGGAGCTCTGGTGGTGTAGTGCCTAAGGCAGTTGACTGCTAACCAGAAGGCTGGCGGTTCAAGCCCACCAGCCACTCCTTGGAAGGAAGGTTAGGCAATCTACTTCTGTAGTGATACTGCCTCGGAAACCCAAGGAGGAGTTGCTGTGAGTCGAATCCGACTCCATGGCAGTGGTTGCATTGCGTTGATAGAAGACAATACTATCCCATGTGACATAGCCTTGACAAAAAAAAAAAAAAAATCTCAATCTGAAACAGCCTATGGAGTCAACCAAGGCAGAAAAACATGTTAATCCCAACTCAGGAAGAGGATCATCCAGGGCAGGAAAATTCTCTATAATTTAACAGTCTGGTTTCTTAACAAGTAAGTTCCGTGGGATGGGAGCAAGGAGGGAAGAGCAGAGCAGAAAAGAAAGGAGGGAGGGAGAAAAAGGAGGATGAAGAGGGGAACTACAGATTAAAAGAGATTTCAAAGATATTAACTGATGAGAATGCATGGACCTTATTTTTATCCTTATACAAATAAACTGCACCAAATATCATGAAATTTGTGATAAAATTTCAACACTGATGAATATTTGAAATTAAGAATTGTTAGAATTTTTTAAGTTACAATAATAAGAATGCAAATATATATATATATATATATATATTTAAAAATCTTTTTATCTTTTAGGAATGCTAAAATATTTATGGATGATGAAATATAATTGAGATACGTACTTCAAAACAACACAGAAGGGGGAAGTGAATGGGTGCATGAAGATGTCAGAGAGGCCATGGGTTAGTGAATTTTGGGCCTGGGAGCTGAATATTTGAGAGTTCATTATACTATTCTATTGTAACTTTTGCATGTTTAAAATTCTACATTATAAATAAATGTTTCTGTTTTATTTTAAGTGCATGGCATTCAGTAGCAATGAGAATACTCAATACCTAAAGTTTGGCTTCTAAGTACAATTTACCACTAAAAGGAAATAGAGCTTCTAGTTGAAATGATTCTTCTTGGTCTGAGGGGAGAGACATATACAGTGGTTCTGGAACATCTTTGCTAGAAACCAAAGTAGTAAAAGAATGAGGCTATTGGCATGTGGCATGCCAAAATTACATAGGAATCAGCTTAAAGGAGCTCACACTGGTCAAATCTGAGTAAATTTAAACATCAAATAATAATGAATTATAAAACAGTGCATGAGAGAAAAAAAAAAAAAAGCCAGCCATCTATAAGGATATTCTAAAACAAAAAGAGAGAGGGGAGGAAAAGCAATTATTATAAATGCCAGCCAATAAATGTAGAAGCAAAAATAGAATGAGAAAATCACCATTGTTGTTTTTATTGTTTCAGGCAAGGATTATAAGAGGATATTAATTAATTAATTCTAATCCTTAGAATCGGAAGGATGGTTGGGCAATCTACTTCCTTAGTGATATTGACTCAGAAACCCAAGGAGGGTGTCACTACGAGTTGGATCCGACTCGAAGGCACATAACAAAAACAACAATCCTTAGAATTAGGTGATAGGTTATTACTGGCAAATAGGATATTCACACAATCTCAAAGATCACCCCACAGGTTAGTATTAATCGCACATATAGAGAAAAAGGTATTTTTACAATGAGAGCTTTGGTGGACATCTTCTTAACCAAGCGATCAAACTTCACCAATTATGGGACCATCTGACACCATGTACCTCTTGGTGGGAGGCATGAGGATCATCTATGCAGTAATTTGGCCAAAAATGTTTAACCTGAATCCAATCATGGGAAATGAATCAGACAAATTCAGAAAACTGGTTTGCATTCTTCAAAAGTTTTAAAGAAAAGAAAAAAGCAGAGAAGCTAATCAAGATTCAAGAAAACCAATGCAACTCAATCTAACATATGACCCTTGATGGAATTCCTGACCAGGGATAGGGAAGGGGGAAGCTATAAAAGACCATACTGTGACAACTGGAAAAATTTTAACCTGTCTGTACATTAAATATAATTATTACATTAGTGTTCGATTTCTTGAGTATTAGAACTTTATTGTGTTTTTAATGCCCTTGTTAAGCTATGGGGATAAAAAAAAAATGTGTATCTACCTGAGAGCACTACACACATAAAGATAGACACATAGGAAAAAAAAAAAAAAAGGTTATAAAATGCAAGTAACAGTTGAATTCTTCTATTTGCAAGTTGCATAGATGTTTGCTATACTAGCCTTTCAACTTATCAAGCTCCTGAATATTATTAGGGAGCTCTCATGGCATAATGACTAAGGCACTTGACTGCTAACCAGAAGGCTAGCAGTTCAAACCCACCAGGTACTCCTCGGAAAGAAGGTTGGGCAATCTACTTTCCACAGTGATACTGCCTGGAAAACCCAAGGAGGGGTTGCTATGAGTCAGGTTCAACTTAATGGCAGTGAGTGAGTAGAATATTATTAAATATTCAAAATAAAAAGCTGCTAAAAATATGATCTACTATGTCTAGTTTCATCTCAGTAGCATGTTACATACAAGTAACTGAGCATCCTCCCCTTTGCTCTTCTGTGTCCTGTCCTTTGAGCACTCTTTCTGATTGACAGCTTGTTCTGCAAATGAAACCTCCAAGTTGATGTCTGTTTCAGAGGCAGGTGGCTCCTCAGGCATCAGTAGGCTCGGCTGCTTTTGACCAACAACAAGGCTGGATGCCTGATCTGGAGGAAAAAAGAGACCAAATTCATATACGATTTGTTTATTTCTCTTCTTTTAACTCATGGACTACATAAAAACATGAGGGAAGGGGACTATTTTCTCTGGGCAAGGGTTGTTGTTGTTGGGTGCCATCAAGGTGATTCTGACTCATAATGATCTCATGTGACACAGTGGAACGGCCCCATAGGATGTTCTGGGCTGTAATCTTTGTGGGAGCAGATTGCCAGACCTGTCTCCCATGGGGCTGCTGGGTGGCCCAAGCTTTTGGTCAGCAGCTAAGCACTTAACTGCTGCACAATGAGGGCTCCTTAGACAATCATTTCTGTTATTTTGATAGAAAAAATATATTAGTAGAATCGACTCGACGGCACATAACAACAACAACAACAACAAGAATAGTGAGGGAGGGGAGGAGGGCAAGGGAGAAGAAGGTAAGTCCGTAGTTCAATCATGGAATCGTTGAGATCACAATTCTTAAACTCCAAATCCAAAGCATTGCTGGAGGATACCAAATTCTTAATGAAAAATCTGACAAAGACTAAGTACACTTCACTTTGTTAGTATATTCTACGCTAAGGTGAAAAGCAAAACAGGTACGGGGGAATTGGTTGTAATCTCTCTGACAACTAGTGATATGCCACATCTTTCCTCACAGTTGAACAGATTGCTGGGGAAATATAAATAAAAACTTTTCCACACCCTGCATTTTCTTTATGGAATGCTACCTACCTCTCATAGTGAAAATTCCAAAATAAGAGTTAGTGCCAAAAACGTACTGCCGTGGGAGTACTTAGAGTATTGAAGGTACTTGGTACAGGAACCAACAAGTTTTATACGTATTTGATAACCAGGAGTATAAACACTTTTTACAACTATAAACACTGGTTAAATAAATTTCATTGACATTTATGGGGTAAAATAAGTTTCTGTTGTTCTTTTTTTTTCTTGTTGTTCTTTTTATTTGTTTGCTTATTGTTAATAATCCAGGAAAGAAGTGACATTTAAAACTCTTTAGAAAGAAATGCTATGACATTAAATTATTTAGGAAGTTATTTTTAATTTTTAATGGAACTCAAATTTTAAAAACTGTGGAACCAATAACAGCGATTATTGATATTTTCTCTTTGCAGACCATTAACTCATTGTGAGAAGTTCTGAGCTACAAAATAAACTTACATGGTGCATGTACTATCTCATTACAAGGTGATGGAAGGGTAACTAGGACTGTTGGGGACAGGACTTCAAACACTACTGCCTTCAAAAATATATCATGCTTAGAGTCATCTAAATTGAAAACAAAAATCTTTTACTCAAAAGAAAATTAAAATGTAATTTTAAATCGAATCTAATTAACTCCCAATCGATAAGTAGATGAGGTACCCAGGCCTGCTTCATGGGATCCCAGTCACACAGGGCCTGTGCTCAGAAGGGCCCCACACTTGGTTTACTGCTCTGTTGTCACTCTCTTAAAATCTGATTAAGGACCCCTCCATCTTCAGCTTGCACTTGTTAGCTGTTGTCAGGTGCTGTCCAGTGGGTTCTGACTCATAGTTACCCTATGTACAAAAGAATAAGCTGAAGATATAACATCTTCAAGTTAACAAAGTAAGTAACATTTACCTATGTTAATTCCAAAAATAAGGATAAATTTGAAGCTCCTTAATATCCCAGGTTGGATCTCAATCAATGAATCTCAAACACAGCTGCCACCCATCTGTTGGTAAAGGCTTCTGATGTGGCTATGATGACGAACAGGTTGCGGTGAGCTTCCAGACTGAGACAGACAAGTAGGAAAGTCTTGAAAATCTACTTCCAAAAATTAGCCAATGGAAACCCTCTGGATCACAATCGTCTGTTACTACTATACACGGGGAAGCCAAGACATGGGGCCAACTCATACAAGCTAAATAATGTTCTTCTTGCCGTTGAGCAAAATCATCACTCTGTGTAAGCCCACTGCTTCAGCCACTGTGTCAATTCATCTCATTGAGGTTCTTCTTCTTTTTCCCTTATCCTCTACTTTACTAAGCATGATGTCCTTCTCCAGACACTGGTCCTTCCTGATAACATGTCCAAAATACGTGACCAAGTCTCACCATCCTTGATTCTTAGAAGAATTCTGGATGTACTTCTTCTAAGACAGATTTCCTCATTCTTCTGGTGGCCCATGGTATATTCAATATTTTCCATCAACACCATAATTCAAAGGCATAAATTCTACTTCAGTCTTCTTTATTCACTGTCCAATTTTTTGCATGCAAATGAGGTGATTAAAAATACCTTGGCTTGGGTCAGGTAGCCCTTAGTCCTCAAAGTGACATGTTTGCTTTTTAACACTACAAAAAGCTCTTTTGTAGCAGATTTGCCCAATGCAATATGCACTTTGATTTCTTGACTGTTGCTTCCATCAGTGTTGATTGTGGATCCAAGTAAAATGAAATCATTAACAATTTCAATATGTTCTCCATTTATTGTTATGTTATTTATTGGTGTAGTTGATCTTCAGCACTAAGTGCTTCAAATTTTGCTTTCAGCAGGCAAGGCTGTGTCATATGCATATCGCAGGTTGTTAAAGAGCCTTCCTCCAATCCTGATGCTGCACTCTTCTTCATATAGTCAAAAAAAAAAAAAAAAACCCTACTGCCATTGAGTCAATGACTCATAGCAACCCCCAGTAGATTTCCAAGGTGATAAATCTTTACAGAAGTAGATTGCCTATCTTCCCTCCATGGAGCAGTTGGTGGGTTTTCTTCTGCTTAGCAATCAAATGCCTCAGACACTGCACCCCCAAAGCTGCTTCATATAGTCCACCTTCAAAGATTATTTGCTTAGCATATAGAGCAAATAAGTGTGGTGAAAAGATACAACCCTGACATATACTTTTCCTGACTTAAAACATATAGTATCCCCTTGTTCTGTTTGAATGACTGGCCCTTGGTCTATGTACAGGTTCCACATACTTAAGTGCTTTGGAATTTCCATTCTTTGCAATGCTATTCATAATTCGTTATGATCCACACAATTGAATGCTTTTGCACAGTCAATAAAAAACAGTTAAATATCTTTCTGGTATTCTCTGCTTTCAGCCAAGATCCGACATCAACAATCATATCCCTCATTCTACATCCTCTTCTGACTCCGGCTTTTATTTCTGGCAGTTCCTTGTCAATGTACTACTACAGCAAAATTTTACTTGGTGTGATATTAATGATATCATTTCATTATTTCTGTTTTTTTTTTGATCATCTTTATTTGGAATGGGCACACATATGCATCTCTTCCAGTGGCCAGGTAGTTGTCTTCCAAATTTCTTGGCGCAGATGAGGTAGAGCTTCCGGTGTTTTGTTGACACATCTCAAATTTGTATTCCATCAATTCCTGGAGCCTTGTTTTTCAACAGTGCCTTCAGTGCAGTTCCAACTTCTTCCTTCAACACTATTGGTTCTTGACCATTGCAGTGTAGT